AATTAGTGTAAATAATACAATTAAATAGCTTAATTTTAATTTATAAACTATGTTAATTTTTTCCCCATAGTAAGTAAAATTACGTGTATATTACGTGCATTTTTGTATTTTACAATGTAAATTACGTTGCTTCAAAAAAATCCTTGTAATTTACCAACCTTACATGTAAATGATATTGTATATCATTTATTGTAAAGTAGAAACCGTATTTATTGCATTAAAGTTGTTATAAAAAGTTATTTTATAATCGATACTGTCTTATAAAAATAATAATAATAATAATAATAATAATTGTGAATTATTTCATAAATATCACAATTAATTAGACATTAAAATTAACGATGTTTTGAATCATAATTTACATTAAATCTAATGAAAAAGTCGTTTTTATGTAACATCGACAACTGTTATCTAGATTTATTTTCAAATATTTGAAACATTAAAGGCATATAAATCCTTATACCCACTGAAGTAAATTGTAATTAAACTAAATGGTACTTTATTTTAAATGAAAACAACGTGAAATATTACTAAACTTTATAGTTATATTGTTGTGTAGTTATGTTAAATATAAAATATCCTAACCACACATTTAAAATGTACGCGTCTTTCAAAATGATCACAAATAATATAAAACAAGTGAACATTAATTTGACAAAATGTATTGACAAAGAGTATGCGATTAACAATCGGATGACAAACGCCTACTTAAATGTGTTGAGACAGAGAGTCAATGGTGTGGCAAATGCGATGATATTTGACTACTTTATCATTGTCTTGATGTTAATCAATGTAATCAAATGTATTGTATTATTATTTGTAAATTTCAATCGCCAAACGCTCATACGATTAGCCGATATAACCATATTTATCGGCGGTATTCGCGGATATACTCTATCGGCAATTATATTGCCGTTTGTTTTGGGAGTTTTGTTGCATAATCTGTTTTATATAACAATATCTAAAAAGTTGTTCATTTGGATCGAAATATTTGACGTTTTAAAAGGGGATAAAAAGCCGACGAGTATTGGTTTGGACGCCAGCGATGGTCTCATTTTGAAACGATTATTATTGCGATCACATCTCGTACTCAATCTCATGAATGTTGGTATTATTTTCTTCGGTAATCATATTATAATCATTTATAATTAATTAAATTAAATATAATTAATTAACGAATAATAATTAAATTTAGATATAGTGTTTGGATTTTTGATAATCGCTTTGAACATTGAATTTATGGACTTGTCTGAGATATTACAGGCGCTGGCATTGGATGCGGTGCTATATATGGGCGCCTATTATCTGCTCATTGATATCCTAATAGCCATCGCATTCTTCTACATAATTTGTTACCACATTCTGTTAAAAGTGCGCAAAATTAACACATTTGTTAAGTTTACAACCGTTACGGCGACAAAGAATGGGCAATTGATCCGCAAACTGGTCACCGATCACAACGAGATATGCGCTAAAATGTCATCGTATAACCACTTCTGGGAAAAGCCATTCCTGTACTTCGTGGTCACTTTACTGCCCGTAAATCTAGTTTGTTTGAATCAACTCATACACGCAGAGTCGTTAAAAATCGACGTGGTGTTCATCAATGTAGTGATGATTGTCTACACCTGGGTATTCATATTCTTCCTGTCCTACTGTATGGCCTCCGTATCCAAGAGTCTTCACCAGTCGTCCGGCGCTCTAATGAAGGCTCAGTTTAAGTCACAAATTGATCCCAAATTACGGCTAAAACTAATGAATTGCTTCGAGAGAGTGAACACCGATAAGAAAGTGTTGGGGTTTGCCATTCAAGGATTTTTTACCATGACTTACCCGGCGCTCTATCGAGTGAGTGTTACCACATGTTTTATTTTTGTTAAATTCAGTTCATTTTAACAATTAGTACAATGTAATATTATAACAATTATTACATAATTGTGCTAGCCATTTAAATATCTGTAACGTGTATTTATATTCTGTATTATTAATTGCTTTATTTTTGTCAATTAACAGTTAATGGTAATGTACGTACGATATTTCATTCTGGTCAATAAAATGGGTCGTAATTCTCTACCAGATTATTATTGTTAAACCAATTGATTTTAATTACATAATTATGAGTGCTGTGCTAATTGGTTGATAATGATAATTAAATTATCAATAAATAATACAATTACGATAAATTAGTCTTAAATATTTAACGCTATATACCTGTAGACTAAATCTTAATTAAATTTAAATAATATTAATAATTAAAATGCAATTTTTAAAACAATTTTATTTATATTAGATTAAATTAATTAAGCAATTATAACCACCAATTAATCTCGATAAATAATTTCGTGAATTAATATAAAGTGTATTTTACCATTGAGATAATGATCAACCAATGAATTAATATAAAGTTGGAATATAAACTTTACAAAAAATTACAACTATGGTACTTTAACTAAAAACTAATTCAACGTAATTTTATCATAAATAACAAGTGAATGAAATTCAATGCACTTATAATGCATTTCTAGCGCTAAAGATGTCGTTATGTAAGAGAATATTCTCTTATCTAAAACAACACGTTTTAGACACACAATAGTAAATGTATAGTATATTTAGGTTAACTTTTCCTGCTGGTGAAATACTGCAATAACTCACACTTCAAACACACCATGTAGTTATATTAATAGCAAAGGCAGCACTGGCAATTCACCTTAATTAAACGTAACACATATACAAATGCCGCTCAAACGTAACCAATTTTACATTTATATTATTGGAAATTTATAATTAATTTTTTAGTGTTTTTTGCAAATTATGCTTTTTTATAGGAAATTGAATATTAATTTTCTAATTAACAAATAATGTAAGAAATATATCGAGAGTCGACTGTAAATATTATTGTGTAATAAACTCGTGCCGTATATTGCAGTGTGTTTTCAGTCTATCGTTGATAATAAACTGTTGCCTAAAAATAAACTCAAACTTTTTGCTGTTGTTGTGAATGTGTTTCTCGTGAATGACTTACAAATGCATTGAAAAATATGAGTTTTGTTTGCGTTTATAAACTGTAAATATTTCCTCCAAACGTCTATACATTATAACTACAAATACAATGTACTCTCGTTATAGTGAACACACGCGACAATTAACTAGCAAATTTAATTAATTTCGTGTTTATGACATTAGTAAAAATAATTATATTAAACGAGTGTTAAAAGCACATTGTGTTAACACATATGGTGTAAAGAACATGATAAAATAACCTAATGTTACCATGATCGATATAAAATGTACAGTGAGTTCACTATAACGAGTGGTGTAGAGGTGTGTACACAGTGTGTACTACACACAGACTGACTGTTGAATACACCGGTAGTAGTGATCAGTGTTTATGAATTGTGAACACAATTGGCTGTAAAACTCATTAATTAATTATTAGTTTTGTTTTTGATTAACGCATAAATCAATTGTGAGTTAAATCCGACGTCTGTTTGAAATGAATTGATTGTGTCTTTCATTTGGATTATTATTTGCATTGAATTTAATACTTATTTATTTTTCATATGAATTACAACTGCATTGAAGCCAAACATTGTTAAAGGTTTGTGTGATTTGTTTGTTAATTATAATTATTTATATTTATTTAATTATAATTAATTATAATATTAATTATAGTTAATATTAATAAAACAAATACATTATAGTTAGTAAATAAAGTGAGCATAATACATAGTGTACATTTATGAACATTTACTTGACGGTGATCTAGTAAATAGTTTTAGTTTACTAAATTAAGCTACATTATTAACAGTAACATTTACCATCACAAATAAATTATAAATTGCATGTTAACCATGTTTGGTGTAAAAATTAAAAGTGAACCAAGTACAAATTATACAAATATTGATTGTTTTTTGTTGATAAACACCAAATAGTTATCAAAGTTCGTGAGCGCGAGGGGTCGATGGATGGCAGGGATGGCCAGCGCCAGGAGGAGGCGGGCGGAGCCGCCGCCGGCGGGAGTGGGAGTAACGCCGCAATACCGGTGCGATTGTCGCTGAAGGAGAGGTTCATGAAAATGATTTACTCTAAGGAGGAATTTGAAGCCTATATGATTGCCAAGAGTCGCAAACGGCAGCAAAAAGAGACCAAAAAGTGATCCGTAATGATGTGATGATTGTGGTGTGGATTGCGATGATAGTCATGTGGTCATCCTATATGGTGTATATATACCTCAAACTCTCCCTAAACTTATTTTGTGTTTAATTTATTAATTATTTGTGTGTTTATTGAATTCAATTGTCAGACGAAACGTGTGTTTCTTTGGTTTCTTTTTAAATATTGATTTAATTTTTGATTATAAGTTGTATTTCTTGTGACTTATATTTAATGTTTAAATATTGTTTTGACTAAATTGATACCAAATGGTTGTGTTTTTTAATTAAAACACTAAGTATTCATTAAATGTTTTGATAAATATTTGCCGAATTGTTTTTTTTTATTTATAAAATTTCCATATTTTCAATGAATTTGTTAATTAAATTGTATTGCGATCTCAATATATAATACTGTATATAAAATTTAAACGATAAAGTATTTTATGTTTTGCATTGTTTTATGGGTTTGTTTTCCTGATTACCACTACTAGTGAGAGAAAGTTTTAATAAAATAAAATGCATTTAATTTAAATACTCGTATTGTTTGAGTGCATTATTTTAATTAGAAATACAACAAAAAGCAATCTCTGAAAATAATAGTCTCGTTGAAAATACTTGGATTTAAAAGTTATTTGCTTTTGAGAAAAAATATATCTTATTTAAAGCCCTAGAGTTTGCAAGAAAATCAAACTAATGATTGAAAAATAAAGTTTGGATTTTTTTTTTGTTAGACTCGGAGACCGAATATAATAATAATTCCCTTTTATTGGACCCGAAATAACATTCCCGGCGTTGAAAGACTCAATTCAATATCATTTATGGCAATATATTTGATATGCTCTCTCTCTCTCTCTCTCTCTCTCTCTCTCTCTCAAACGTATTTTACAAAATGAAAAATTTGTGTACGTAAAATACACTGTAAAATACAACGTAAATTACGTACGTAAAATACGTGGTTTGTCATATTGCCAACCCTATTTACATGTCATAAACATGTCATTTAAAATTGCATATTATTATTATAACCTCAGGTACGGTCAAAACGACCAAAAGTTTTTATTTAAAACTATTAATCAAAATTGATCATTTTACATTTAATGTTATATCTTATCAATGTTCTTTGTTTAAAATACAAAATTTAAAAACTTTGTATCAATAAAGGTTATTGTAACAATTGTTAATATACATATACGTATAATGTTGTAAAATATGATTTTAATTTTATATTTATACGTAAATACATTAAGATCACATATTTAATTACTTTTATATTTTTTTATTAATAATATGTGCACATATTATATACAGAATTATATATGACATTTAATAATAGTAATATTTACATAACACTATATATATAATTATATTTAGGACATAAATATTTGCATAAATTTAATTAATAACTTTATTATCAAATAAAAATAATAACTATTTTTGGGTGAATATAAAAGTCTATAAAAGATTAATCAAATTAGAAAAGTATAATCACAAGCAATGTTGCAAAAGGTGTATGTGTTTGACAGCAAAACAAACTCAATGATAATGAATACAACTAATGGTTTCAATTTGATGATAGCCTACCACAGAATCTATGGCTTGTCATACACTGGATATAAGATTAAAAACAAAGCGTTAAAATGTGCTTGCTGGCTTTTGAATATACTACTCCCGGTAATTCACGCTTCACTTTTCTATTATTATTACGATGAATACATAATACTTATATCTGACAAAAATCTCTACAAAAACAAGTCATCTCTGGTCTGTTGGCTGTTTAATATTTGTGTATTTAGTCAATACTTGCAATTGTTTTGCATTTATTTCTTTAATCTCATAAAAGGGGATAAAATCTATAAATGCATTCAAACAAAGTTTGTCACTAAATGTCCCATAAATGACACCAAACTTGGGATCGCTATTGTCATCGTTCAGATATTTATTTCCAATTTTCTTATGATATTATTTATGATTACAACTAATGAGAAATACGATGATTATGTAATAATTGTGTTGGCATTCATATTGGGCGGCTTTGAAGTGGTGGTGCCCTTCGCTATCGTTTCTATAATCTATTACAAGAGCAAAATTGTTGACAAACAGATTCGGTATTTGCGACAACACTTTCGCTCGTATCGATTGATCAAGATTTACAAAATATTAATTAAATTGAAAACCAATATAAACGAGTTAAACGCCTCCCTATCACCCGTACTGGTGGTCATGATATTCAACAGTTGTCTCATCATTATTACCGACATCTGTCGCATAGCCGTACTCTTTGAGAAGCATTCGCTGAAATGTTTGATCAACTTTTCAGAGTTATTGTTCACTCACTCTATGATAATTGTGTGTCTGTGCTATTCGTGCCATTTGTTGAACCAATCAATCAAATCCTTTGCCAATTTTATCGAGATTGAAATGAGCCGTCAATTGTGCCCTAAAGTAGTGATCAAATGTGTGGAGACAGACGTGAGAGCGGTGTCCAAGAAGATTGACTTACAACTGATCCTTAACTTAAGCAAAGAGATCTCATTCAAGGCGTCGCCCTTTTTTGACATCCAGTTGTCCACTATTTTGGCCATCACTTCGGCTGTCATTTCTTATACCGTAATCCTTATACAAACAACTCATGTTAACACAGAGTAGAAATTTATATTTTTGTTTTTCTACTTTCTCACAAGTTAGATTAAGATATTTTTATGTAAATATTTTTTATATAATTTTTCGATGTTTTTAACTAATTTGAATCTCGTATTTGTTATAAATCATATATAAAATTAAATACTGTAATTTTATTTAAATATTTTAAATAACAATTGAATTTATTGAATTGATATTTGAAGACCCGACTCGCTGATTTTCAGTAAGGGGGTTTTGTATTTTTTGTATGTTGTAAAGTTCTAAACTTTGTATTTAGTGACTTGAATTTAATATAAGTTTAATTGTAAAGTAATTTCAAAAATAAAATATAATACATATCAAATATATTGTCATTAACTTTAATTAGTTAAATGAATATTAGTTTATATTTATAATAATAATTGATATTTGCAATTAATTTCCAGAAAATAGCAACTCTAATAACTTACAACTTTATATAATATAAACATAATCAACAGTTATGACATAATAAATATAATCATATTTAAGGCATAAATATTTGCATAAATTTAATTAATAACTCACTTATTAAATAAAAATTTATCACTTTTTGACTAAATATATGAGACTATATAAAAGGCTAATAAATTGGGGGAAATAATCACAAACAATGTGGCGAAGAGTGTATATGATTGACAGCAATACAAACTCAATGATAATGAATACGACCGATGGATTCAATTTGATGGTCTTCTACCACCGGATCTATGGCTTGTCATATAGTGGTATACATATTAAAAACCGAGTATTAAGATGTGCTTGCTGTATTTACAATTTAATCCTACCAGTCATTCACACTTTACTGCTATTTTTGGTGTATAATTCATACATAACTGAAATGAGTGATGAAAATGTTTATAAAAGCAAAACATCTCTCGTCTCAGTATTGATGAAGATATCGCTGATTAGCCAATACTTGCAATTATTCTGCATTTATGTCTTTATTTTGGTCAAAGGGGGCAAAGTTTTTAAATGTATTCAAACAAAAATTGTCATTAAATGTCCCATAAATGACACCAGAATTGGCATATCTGTCGTCGCCATACAAATTGTGAGCTCCTATTTGTATATCATTTTATTTATCACAACAACCAAAAAGTCGATCAAAACTTTTGCCGAGTATTTCTTTGCTTTATTGATGGGTCCGTTGGAAGTGGTGGTGCCGTCAGTCATCATATCCATCATCTATTACAAGAGCAAAATGGTTGACAAACAGATCCGGTATTTACGTAAAAACTTCACTGATAATTGTGTGTCTGTGCTATTCGTGCCATTTATTACATGATTGTATCAAATCATTTGCCAATTTCATAGAGATAGAGATAAGTCACCGTTTGTGCGCCGAAACAGTGGCCAAACACAGGGAGACAGACGTGAGAGCGGTGTCGAGGAAAGTGGATCTCCAACTCATACTGGAGTTAAGCAAAGAGATCTCATTCAACGCCTCATCCTTTTTTGATATCCGATTGTCCACTGTTTTGGTCATCACTTCAGCCGTCATATCCTATACCGTAATCCTTATACAAACCACTAATGATCACCAGGGAATTGCATTTACCTATACCACCTATTTTTAGCGGTTAATAGTATTACCCTCAGACTAGGGATATGAACCGATCATGTATTGGGGGTCGGTTTGCCGAAAGTTTATTTTACTTATATTTACCTATTTGAGGCGTTAGTAACTATTTTAACTATTACGTAAATTTGACTAAATTTTAATATAAAAGTTAAAATATTAATGATTAAATTTAATAATAAGTGAGTTTTAGTATAGAAATAAGTATAAAGTGTAAAGAAAGCGAAATATCAATAGTTTTAGTTTCAAATTTTTTATTCAAATTATTACAATTACCAAAAGCGTCGGTATTGTGTTGTCGGTCGCCACAAATACCAAATAATACAACATTAATTCCTTATTAATTTAATCAAATTCATATAAATAAACTGAATATACGCTATATTTAGTGTATTAAACATTAAAACTAGCAAATAATAACTTTTAAAAAATTATTTTAGGCCTATTTTATCAAATTATAACTACCTATTTAAGTAACTATTTGGGGTGTTTTTCATACCTATTATAGTGACTATTTGGGGTCTTATATTCACCTATAATGCAATGCTCTGATGATCACTAATGTTCACTAATCAACCTCTAAGTTTATACATAAATATAAAACTATATAATAAGTACAACAATAATTGTTATAATTATTATACGTATTACACTTTTAGAATATATTAAATACTTTATGCCTAATGTACAATAAAACTTACAAACTGCATTATATAAATGGTAAACTAATCGAAATTTTAATTTAATTTAAATGATTAAACTGTATTATAAATAAATATTCTTTGTTAATGTAAGGACTAGACTGACCAGATGTCCAGAAATGGCCTGGATTGTCCCGGAATGAAGGTCCCTGTCCAGTGTCCAGGGCGGGGGTAAACCCTGACATTATAGTGTCCAGGAATGATAA